TTTTTTTTTTTTTTTTAAAGCTCATAAGATGAACCAGCTAGAAATTAGACTTTCTTTTTCCCTTGCAGTACTCAGAATTTTAAACTCAGGGCCTTGCATTTGATAGGCAGGTATTCTATGAAGTGAGCTATTCCACCAACCCTATTTGTGTTGGCTATGTTCAAGATAGGGTCTTGCTTTATGTTCAGGATGGCCTAGACTGTGAACCTATTTATGCTTCACTGGGATAACAGATGTGTATTACCACAGCCCAGCCACTGGTTGAGATGGAATTCTGAAAAAAAATATTCTTCCGCTTAAACTGGCCTCAAACTGTGATTCCCCCAATCTTGGCCCCCAAGTCACTAGAATTACAGGTTTGAACCACTGCACCCAGCTTGGAAGGGAGACTTCTTCTCTCTCTTTTTTTTTTTGTTCTGGTCTGAACTCTGGGCCTGGATGCTGTCCCTCAGCTCTTCAGCTCAAGGCTAGCACTCTACCACTTGAGCCACAGCGCCACTTCTGGCTTTTTTCTTTTGCTTATGTGGTGCTGAGGAATCGAACCTAGGGCCTCATGCATGCAAGGCAAGCCCCCAACACTAAGCCACCTTCCCAGCCCTGTTGAAATTCTTTTTGTTTATTTTTGGACCTCCTTTTTTATTTTTTAGTATATTTTTTATTGTAAAATACTGTAAAAATACTGTACAGAGGGGTTATAGTTACATGAGTAAGGTAATGAATACATTTCCTATCAAGTATTGTTACCTCCTCCTTTGTTTTTCCCCTACCATACCTTCCCTCCTCACGTTCCCAACTCCTCCCTCCCCTATTTTAAAAAATATTTTTATTTTTATTATAAAGGTAATGTATAGAAGGGTTACAGTTACATAAGTCAAGTTCCACTTTACCCATTCATTATTGGATTATTTTTTGGTATTTGAATTTAAAAGTTTAAAAATACATTCTAGGGTTGGGAATGTAGCTTAGTGGTAGAGTGCTTGCCTAGCATCCATGAAACCCTGGGTTCAATTCCTTAGGACCACATAAACAGAAAAGGATGGAAGTGGTGCTTTGGCTCAAGTGGTAGAGCGCTAGCCTTGAGCAAAAGAAGCTTAGGGACAGTGCCCAGACCCTAAGGCCAAGCCCCAATACTGGCAAAAAAAAAAAAAAATCTAGGAATAAGTCTCATACAGAACTTCTGTGTGTGTGTGTGTGTGTGTGTGTGTGTGTGCTGGGTTTGAACTTAGAGCGCGTGTGGGGGGGGGCGGGCCTGGACACCACCTTTTAACTTTTTTTTGCTATTTCTGGCTCTTTGGTGGTTAATTAGGGATAAGAGTCTCAAGGACTTTCCTAAATTGGTTTTGAAGACAATCCCCAAATCTTAGCCTCCTGAGTAGCTAGGAGTACAGGTGTGAGCCACTGACGCCAATATATTTTTTAAAGTAAATCCCATTTCCTTTTCCTATCAAAATAAAAGCTTAATGATAGAAAGCCAAATGATCTAAGTCTTAAAAAAATTTAGTAAAATAAAATATTGTTTTAAAAAAATCTACTGAAGGGCTGGGAACACCCAGTGGTAGAGTAGTAGAGTGGTAGAGTGCTTGCCTTGCATGCATGAAGCCCTGGGTTCGATTCCTCTGCACCATATAAGCAGAAAAAGCTGGAAGTGGCTCAAGTGGTAGAGTGCTAGCCTTGAGCTGAAGAGCTTAGGGACAGTGCCCAGGTCCAGAGTTCAGACCTCATGACTGACCCCCCCCCCAAAAAAAAATCTACTGGAGGTATTTAAAAATTAGAAGTCCTGTGTCTGCTGAGGGAAGCATATCAGATGAAGGACAAAAAACAAAAACAAAAAACAATACAAAAAAAACAAATAGCCAGGTACCAGTGACTCACACCTATAACCCTAGTTATTCAGGAGGCTGAGATCTAAAGATCATAGTTTGAAGCCAGCCTGGGCTGGCTCTTATCTCCAATTAACCACCAAAAAAGCCAGAAGTGGAGCTGTGGACTCAAGTGGTAGATTGTTAACCTTGAGCATAAAACTCAGGGATAGCACACAGGCCCTGAGTTTAAGCTTCAGGATTGGCATACACACACACTCACGCAAAAAGACAGTCATTTTGCATGTTTTCAAGAACAATGTTCCCAGATTAAAAATAATTTATACTTAGGAAATATAAAAATAAATTTTAACAAATCAGAAATTGATTACCAACTATAGAAGGCTATCATATCCGTCAACAGAAAATAAATTGTGGTTACCTCCTGCAGCTTCATTTTAAACATAAATTATTTGTGTTTAATGTTTACTGTTTTATTTTAAAGTTTAATGTTTTAGGATACAGTGATGAATGCACTTGTAGTACTTATTTTTTCTGACTATCTGACTTCTGGCAGAAAAATGATGTTTAAACATGTATGTGTATATAGCCACGCTGTTTTGTTGCTGACCACAAACAAGCTTTCAGCCCAAGTTAGCATCCCTCTCTTCCTCATCCTGAGCACTCCCAGGCTGTTCTGTTAAGATTGGGCACATACTAACCACATGACCTCATGAATTCTATCTTATCACATCACAGGTTCCTCAGACTGACCACAACAACTTAAATCAGACAGGGAGCAAAGCAGCACACACAAAGTCTCTGTAGGACATTTTCAGCTGTCCAGCTTGTGGGAGAGAAAAATCTGATTATTGCAAGTCCAACTGTGTGTCTGAGACACAGTTCATGAAAAACACATGATTTACTGTACCAAAGACTCCCAACCATAGATTAAAATATTTAGAGAAAGCAATGTATCTTCTATCAATTCTCCTATTACTGACAATAAACTCATGGAGCACATTCTCAAATGTTCCCACTCTGAAAAAGTGTTGAAATGTACTCCCTACCTTACTTCTGTAACTATAACCCCTCTGTACATCATCTTGACAGTAAAATTTTTTTAAAAAAGAAAAAGTGTTGATACTATTATTATTTGACAAACCAGCATTTAAAAACTGAATTACATAAACACATTGGATGGCTTAAAAAAAAACATATATCTCCCCTCTGTACATCACCTCTCCAATAACAATAAAATATATTTAAACAAAATAAAAATAAACAAAGCTGGGCACCGGTGGTTCATGCCTATAATCCTAGTTATTCAGGAGGCTGAGATCTGAGGACCATGGTTCAAAGCCAGCCCAGGCAGGCAAGTCCTTGAGACTCTTATCTCCAGTTAACCACCAGAAAACTGGAAGTGGTGCTTTGGCTCTAAGTGATAGAGCACTCACCTTGAGCTGAAGAGCTGAGGAATAGCACTCAGGTCCAGAATTCAAGCCACATAACCAACAAAAATAACTAAACAAATTATTATTAACTTGTTTTATTAATCCTCACTATTCAGGAGGTTGAAATCTGAGGATCATGGTTTGAAGCCAGACTAGGCAGAAAAGTCTGTGAGACTCTTATCTTCAATTAATCACTAACAAGCCAGAAGTGGAGCTATGGCTCAAGTGGTAGAGCACTAGCCTTGAGCTAAAAAAGCCCAGGCACAGTGCCTAGACCCTGAGTTCAAGCCCAGGTCCAGCATAAACAAACAAACAAACAAATAAATAAAAGAAATGGGAAAGGAGTGAAGCAGAAAAGAAGAGACAAAGCCACAATATCAGTTTGCACAGCTACTATAGAGAAGGTAGACTACTTGGGTTCATATGTTGGCCATGTGATATGGAACAAATCATTTTAATGCTTATTGAGTCAGATTGATAAAGTTCTTATTCTGTTTCCATTTTTTCTTTTATAGTTCTGGGGACTGACTCCAGGCCTTGCACTTGTAAGGTAGCTGCTACACCTGGAGCTGGTAGAAACTTGATCAGCAAGTGTGACACTTGGAATTTGAACCCCATAACTGCCCTGTCACAAAGAGCCTAGTGATAATCGGGTTTTTTTTTTTTTGTTGTTGTTTTTGGGGGGTAACTGGTTCTGGAGCTTGAACTCAAGGCCTGGGCACTGTTCCTGAACTTGTTTTGCTCTAGGCTAGCACTCCACCATTTGTGCCACACAGCTAACTTTCAGTTTTTTGACAGTTAACTGCAGATAAGTCTCACATACTTTCCTGCACAGACTGGCTTCAAACCACGATTCTTCGTCTCCTGAGTAGGTAGGATTACAGGAGTGAGCCATTGGCACCTGGTATAATTAGCTTTTGAGTATATGGGAGAAATTTAAGTGAATACCCAAGCCTTGAAATCTGAGTATTCGCGGAACTACACAAGATTTTACAACTGTAGTTCATTTTAGCATCCTGTATCAGGCAGAATGAAACCTTCAAGTGAATCTCTTAGGGGTACTCTAAATGTTAATAAGTATATTTAATATTATGCCATATTGAAAGTTTACATAAGCAGTATTAGATGTTTACATTTTACTTTCTTCAAGAGGAGGACTTAATACTATGTATTCCCTCATGAAAATGCTGAAAAACACATTAGCTTATACAATTTAAGTTAGTAAACATCTAGTAATATTCTGAAAATATCATCAGTCGAATCTCTCAGACTGTAGGTAGTTACAGTTTGAAAGGCATTCATATACCAAGAAATCTGTTAACTGATATCAGGCAAGTATCCTTTTTGGCAATCTCAATAACAGGACATTAAGGGAGAGTCAAATCATCCCTCTGCCCACAACGGTGAATGAGTACCACAAATCTATCCCAGAAGTAAGAGAAGTAAATTTGAGACTTGGGTAACATCTAGCATCTTCAGACTATAATAAAAAATAAGATATCTGATATGAAGATATTAACTGACCATTTTTACATTATGTTTAAGAGGTCTAAGGAAAATAAATCCTCAATATTTCAACAGAAAAATTACTGCTACAAGACAATCTTCTAAGATGCTATTATTAATTATAAACGAGAATTATAGGCAATGTTTAACATGAAAGAGTCAGTCTTACAATCAGTAATAAAGTATGATGTTACAGAGGAAGGAAGGAAGAAATATGTGAGGCTCAAAATTTATCACTTACCTCATGATTCAGCTCTGCGATCTGATCTTTCAGTTCCCTAATATACTGGTTAGAATCAGACTTGCTAAGCTGTCCTTGGAGCTTTCCTTCTTCTTTCTGTTTTGTGACAATACAACAAAGCAAAAAGCTGAGACAATTTTCACAGCATGTACTCAAATAGGACAATCTAAGTGTAAATCCTTCAGTTAAATATTGATTTAACCCATTGCTAAAGTATTTCTGAAATTTATAAATAATGCTTAGATACATATATACATACATACATACAATTTACAAAATATACCTTTGGAGGGAAAATTAAAAATCAATGATTCAAGTCCCCTGATTTAAAAAAAAATCACTCTCGTATTCAAGGCCATTATGTAGTTATTCTGTCAAGCAGATGTTTCTCTCTTCAAACCACAAGCCTTCAATGTATAGTCAATGCTAGGGAGGTGCTCACAGCTATGTTGGGAACCAACTTTCACAAGAACAGAGAAGAAAAAGTTCTCCAAATCACTCTAATACAGGAGGAAACTGCTGAGTCTACTTGGCTTAATTAGTTCAGGAATCCTAGATGCAGCCTATTAAAATCACTCCTGGACTGGGAAGGTGGCTCAGTGGTAGAGCGCTTGCCTTGCATGCATGAGGCCCTGGGTTCGATTCCTCAGCACCACATAAGCAAAAAGAAAAAAGCCAG